GGGAGTATTAAAAGAAAGAAGCAGCTCTGTGCCACAACGGGCGCCTCACGATAAGACTCTCAGTCAAACCGCTTTCATGTTTACTCATCAGAGTTTGAACTTCAAGGAGATTGAAGGGAAAATGTAAGTCAAGAAAATCAAAAATGTTAACTTGTTCTGTGTCGAAAAGCTCATGAGGTGTTCTGCGCACAGTGCTGCCACTTTAAATTCACAGGGCCTGCAACATTAACGGAAACACCTGGTAGAGATGTGCAGAAGGCTTAAAATAAATTCATCATTTATTGCAGGAAGAAAGTTCAATGTGGAGAAAATGCCATGTGGTAAAAATGGTGATTCTCATGCTGTTAATTCATTTCACAACCAGCTTTGCCAACAACGTGTAGGTCTGGGGACTGAGCTGTACTTTGTTTTGCATCTAGTGAATCATGTCTTCATTGTTTCGCTCAGTTTTTGAAACATTAATCGGCTGAATGATCTTTTGATGACCCATACTCAGTTTTCTGGAAAATTGCATCAGGTTTTCATATAAAATATTCTGGTAGTTCAAACGTTTGAGGAGCTAAACCAGCTATTTTTGTGGTGAATTAATATCAACTGAGAGTCTTATTTTGAGAACTGTCAAGAGAAATGACCTTGGTGTCACAAAAATACATACCCAAGACAAACAGGAAGTTGTGAATTATTAATTAGAAAATTATACTTTGATCCACAATTTAAATTAAATTGATGCAATAAATATAAATTAATAATCAGATGCTCTAATAAGTGTGCCATCAACAATGTTAAAAACAATAATCAATTATCATTGGAGTTTCTAAAGATTTTCAGTATTGGATTATGTTATGGCAATGAAATATGAATTTATTTAAAGGCTTGTTACACATCTTTACTGATGTTGAGCTCTATGTAGAGTCTCTACGGGGCTTTTAAAATACATTTCTGGTATTATTTGGTGTAAAAAAGTAAAATTAAGACCTTTAACAGGGGGCATAACATAAGAAAATCCATTACAAACCCATCAAATTATCAGAAAAGCACCTCTAGAAATAAATTAACGAATAAATAGACAAGCCAATAATAAATCAACCCTGAATAAATAGTACAATCAAAAATCTGAATCATAATTGAAAAAAGGAAAAGAGAAATAAAAAAGAAAATCCAAAGAGAGATAGTTAAAATTTTTGGTCTAAAATCAAGTTATCGATGTTTTAAGGATCTTTTTTTCTCAAAGTCTTTTTTTGTTGTTTTTTTTTAGTTTTTTTCTTCTTTTCAGTACATCAGCGATAAGTAAGCAGTAGAACATAGATCTTTTTTTTTTCTACAAAATCTATAGAAGCACTAACAGATACATTCCGTCTAAGAGTCAATGTGGAGCGAAGGCCTCACCTTTAAGGCGCAAACCCTCCCTTCCACACCTAAAGCTTGGTTCGTGAAACGATTCTCGTGTGTCGACTGTTTCGCCCGGCGAGGATCAAACCAAATATTCTTTGGATGGAGTCCAACTCCCCACGCGTCAAATAAACCGAGGCCTACGCTGCGAGAACACAGCTCTGCATCTTAAAGTGTAGCTCAGATTGCCGTCTTTGGGTTCAAAAATTACAAGACATCGCTCCCGACCCAACCCCCGTCTTCATTTTTAAGCATCCAACGAACACTTGCATGCAGAAAACGCTCACCTCAGACAAACTGACCCGTTTTCTTTGTCCTCGTGCACAATTTGGTTTGCTTCAGTATTTGGATTGACGAATTCAAGGTCTGCTGCTCAATTTGGCTTTTGTGTCGTCTATATTTCACCCCCCACCCCCACCCCACTCCCCCGCCAGGACAGGCTAATAAAAATCTGGAAGCTAAATTTTCACAGTATTTTTTTGTTTTTATCGTCAACCACCTGATAAAAATCTCTAGCACGACTACGAAAAAAATAAGGAGCTCTTGTAGTAAGTAAGTAAGTAAGCGAGTACGTTATTCCAAATAAGTAATAAGCACTAAAATACAGTACATGAAACGGCATCAAGAGACACAGCAGAGGGGAGAAAGGAATCAGAATCAAAACTAAAAACATTTGAAATAAAAACAGATTTCAGTTCAGTGAGGTCATTTGCGTTTCGCTCCATCCAGGACCAGAGAGCCGAGCTGGAGAGAGGGAGGCAGAGGAAGGGAGGAAGGGACCCATCCTTTGCTTTTCTTGTCTTTCCGCCTGTCTGTTCATCCCTCCATCAGTGCTACACAGTTTCAGAGCGGGCCGCAGTTCTGCAGGCCTAAAGCTAACAGACGGACAGGCGGATATCCGCTGGTCCTCCTCCCCTCCTCCCTCCAGCCACATTTGGTTTGGGTTATTTTTGGTTTGCTTCAGTCATTCCTTGGGTAGTGAGAGTTCGTTTTTTTGGTTTGGTTTGGGTTTGTTTTTGGTATCCTCTTTAAAAAAAGTGTGACTACCCTTTGTTGTGTGTGTGTGTGTGTGTGTGAGGAGGTCGAGGGGGGGAGGAGGGGGCGTCCAGAGTAAAAGATCAGCCCCTAAATAAAGCTTTCAGGTGGAGGAGATTCACCAGTGGGGCCTTTCAGTGGCAGCATCCTGTTCTCAGCCCCTTCCCTCAGAAATGGCCCCACACCCCTCCACGGGCGCGTCTTTATTGTGTTTATGTCTCGGCTAAGGCTCGAGAAGAACATAATGCTTTGGTATCTATCTGAGGATTAATGGAAGAGTGGGGTGGAAAATGACATGTGAAATGTGACTGATGAAGCGATGATGGAAGCAGACGTATACATCGAGACGTACAGATGTCAGGCGGTCTGTGCTGATAGACGAGGCAGGGACGAGAGCAAGCTGTGACTAAACTTGACTTTATTGACTTATTTAGCCTTCAGTCTCAGTGGTTAATCCTTCAAATCTCCCATCACAGACCCCTATTTCATACTTTCAACATCATTTTCAGCGTGCGAAGTTTCCTGGGCATGTTCGTTTAGACACGGACTGCCCTGATAACGAGCCCGACAAGTATCGAACACATCAGCGCTTCTCTCAGTAAATGTATTTCTAATGTGGCAGCTGAGATGAAATCCAGATCAGATGTTGGTAGAAAAAAACAAACAAACAAACAAAAAAAGAAGCAGCCCCAAAGAAATCAAAACAAATTAGTCCATAATAAAGTTATCTGTCGTAAAGTGGAATCTGATCTGTACTAAGAAAGCTTTTATAAGTGTAAATAAATGTTGGCTAGTCCAGTAAAGGTGACCTGTTGTGCTTCCTTAAACGGTTGAAGATACGTCTACGAGCTATACGAAACATGTTTATTACATTTTTTGCACAAAATTATTCTTAATCAGATTTTTCTATCTATTTTGAGCTCCTTTCAGAATGAGCTTTTTTAAGGCATCTTGTCACTTTAAATCCAAATACGTTGCTGCTGGCCACGCCCTTCAACTCAACGCTTACGCTCACACGTGAAAATGGCTGCAAACAGATGCGTAGTGATGCACTTGTACATATTTGAGAAGCAGTAGTAGAGCCTCCTGCACAACCAACAACAACGCAGCAAGTGGTTTCTGAATGGTTAGTCAACAACAAAACACTTGTCTTTTCTAGCAGCCATTGTACATACAGCACATACAGTGGTAAACTTGCTTGGGTTGCCAGGTAATGGGAATGGTGTTGCTAGGTAACGGCAAAGTGCCTGTTGATTGTGATTTAACAATCAGGAGGTTCATTTTCCAGACTCCAAAACCATTAACTTATTGCCAAAAAATAGCTGGCTGTTTATTTTAAAGCTGTTTTTAGAAGCAGTTGAGCCCCAAATGGAAGCATAAAAATGTGCAATATGTGAATTTTGCATAATAGGTCTTCTCTAAAAGCTTTCTTACGAAGAGCATGACAATTATCTGCAAAGAGCTTTCCGAAAACCTTATTGTTGCAAATCGAAGGGATGCCGTTGGTTGCTGACATGTTTCTAGGGTTCTGAATATTCCCGAGAGCACTGATTGGGCTAAAATTAAGAGTTGAGTAGAACATCTTTTCACCATTAACCAGCTAAGACCAGCTGCTCCTCCTAGGACAAATGAGTTTAATGGATAGTCATAAGAGTTTCTCAGGAGAAAATTAGAGCCGCAAAGGGCTTTAGAAAGACTTGGACTTAGCCTCTAGTAGGACACAATACAACAAGATTTATTTCATGTGACAAGCTGCCATTACCAAAAAAAAAAAAAATGCTTTTGTGGCTCAGTATTTAATACATTTTATCAATTATTTTACATATAAATTCATTTATGGACTAACTTATTAGGATTTCCTTTTTTTTTTTTTTTACTGAGACAGAAACAACATTCAACACTTTTATCTTTGACAGTGAGGGTCGGGCAGTCTAAATAAGCGCTTAAAAACATCAACCTGTTCCTAACGAATGAATTCGCACTGTAAGTTACAACGAAGTGAGCCATCTCGATCTGCGAGCTAGCGGCACTTGGTGAGGACTGGATCACTTCCGCCATCTGTCCTGCTGCGGGGCGAGTCGCGTTACAAACAAAATACATGGCAACGATGATGACACAGACGAAGATGATGGCGATGATAATGACGAGAGCTAAAACTACAGTAGCACACAACAATAAATAGGAGCTGAAATGTGTAACAGCACTAATAAATAGTTAAAAAAAAACAACAACTAATGTTAAACTGTACTTAACGTGTTAAAAAGTTGGACTTTAGAAAAATGAATGCAGTTTTATGCTCTTCTAGCAGACGCTCACACACACGATGCAAAAAAGTAACACTATTTTACAAAATTATAAAAAATAAAATAAAAAAAATCAGTGAGAGACACATGAAGTGAGAGACAGAATGAGTCAGTGACGGGATGAGCTGGTTCTTCATGTGTTGTATGCTTGTGTGTTTGCTTGCTGCAGTAGCAGTAGAGTCCTGGTCCTGGATAGCTTCAGTATTTACACGTCCTTTGAATAAAGCTTTTCTCTCCGTATTTTTGGTATTTGTGATTTTGGTTTGGTTGTCGTTTTTTTTTTTTGTCTCATTGTGTATTCCTCCACCTCCTCCTCAGGTAAAATTTTTGGTTTAAACGTATCCTCCTCGCATCGCCTCTTCTTCTTTCAGACCCGCAGCTTTTTGGAAAATGACTTTTTATTTTTTTTAAAAAAAGGATAGTTCTCCTCTTTGTTTCTTTTTATCCGCGCTGCCATTCCTTCTTGTCATATAGTCAAAGTTATCTTTTTGTCATTTTTGGTTTATGCACTCGGACGTGCCGTCTCTTCCACCTCTTTGTTGCAGAGTCATTGGTTTGTTTTCCCTCAGAGAGACGTGCCACGTCGCACGTTTTAGAGAAAAATGTCCAGTGCTGTCTCCGTTTCGTCCGTCTGGATACATAAAGATTTTTGGTTTCAATCTTTCTCCTCCTTTTCCCTTCCCTTACTTCTTTCCCTCCTTCTCTCCTCTTTCATTCTGTGTATTTTTGGCATCGAAAGACTTGGAGAGAAAGACGGAGAGAGACGCCGGGAAAAACAAAACAAAAACAAAAACAAAAACGGAAGAAGAGCACAAGAGAGAGAAAGAGATAGCTTTGGTGTGAAAGGCGAGGTTCTTGTTTAACCCTTTCTGCTCCTCTCTGATTGACCCCCGGGTGTGGTCACTCAATCTTGGGCCCCCCCAGGGAGGACGGGCTGTGTGCCATTTCGCTGGAGGAGCAGGAGGAGGCAGGGCTGGAGCAGGGGGAGGGGGAGCAGGGTGTGGGGCTGATGCTGCTGGCCGAGGGGAAGTGTGAGGGCTGGGAGACTTTGGCTATGGCGGCGCTGACCAGTCCAGCGCCGGGGCTCTGACCCATGTGGAGGAGGGTCGGGTGGTTGAGGAAGAGGGAGGAGGGAAGCCCGCCTCCTTGACCCCCAGACGACCCGAGCATCACCTTGCTGCCGCCCTCAAGAGTGGAAAGAGGCAGCTGGCCACCACTGGCTGCTAGGGCTGGGGACAGAAAAGGAGATGCAGGAATTAAAAACAATAACTTTCATTTTCTATTATCGTCATGTCAACATGGTTGCCATTTGATCCTGTAGTTTACACACTGAAAAAAACTAAAACAGGCTTAGAAAATATGAATATATTTTAATTTATTTTAAAATATCTATAAAAATATATTAAAATAAATTTCAATACATTAAAATATATTAAATGTATTTAGTGTAACTCAATATTAAATACATTTAATATTATATTAATATATTATATAACTGTATTAGTATGAAATATATGTATTAATATATATTTAAAAATACATAATTTATTTTAATATATTTTAATGTTTTTAAATATATTAAATTACTATAATTTAAATCAGTTTTATTCAAGTAAAGTTTAATAAGTTGCTATGTTAAGAAAATGTAGATAAAGTAAGTTTGACAAACTTTAAATGTACCAAATTAGCACATTTGTTTTCAGGTGGAGCTCCATTCTCTTTTTCTCAGTTCGTCCCTGTTAGATTACGTAAAGCTACATCTACTTCATAATAATCAAGGTTTGTTTGTTTTTTTCTCTCTTTTAAATGTTTGTTATCTTTCATTCTCGAAGGTCTAGTGAGTGAGATTTAGAAATGTCGGCTGATACACATTCAACATCAAACAGTCTTCCTTATCTGATGCTCTCTCTCCTACTGAGGCTTGAGATTGGTTTGTGTCTGATTTAAGCTAATTTAAACCCAAACTTTGACTAGACTATTCCAAAACTTTAAGCTGCCTTGCTTTCTCAGGTCATATTAATAGTCTGATGATCTACATCATGTGTCGTAGGAAAAAGCAAACCCAGGTGATGCAGTTTACCAACAGTTGTATTTTATCTGGATATTTTAAAAGAAATATGGGTCTATATTTTCTTAAATTATGCAAAACATGTAAATAAATTGTCTTGTTTTGGAGTTATACTGCTAAAGACTATTTTTGTCTTTAATATAAAACTATCTAAGCTCTTACTTTTACATTTAGACTCATTAAAAACAGTTGATAAGGAGCAGATGCCGCCCCATGTAGTTTGGGCTTTTGTGCTGCTTGCTGTTTCATATTAATTACTTGATTTTGGTTTGTAATTTTGCTCATGGTGGGTGGAAGATAAAAATCAGAGAAAGTGATTCATCGACATATTTTAGCATATGACCCCAAGATGAGTCACTGATTTTCCATGCAATGAAATCTTAAATAATATCAAAAGAGAAGTCAAGTCTTAGATAATATAGATAAAGCACAGCGCTTGTGTAGGTCGTGAATCGTGTGTCACACGGCATATGATAAATAACGTCGAAACGGTGACAAAATCCTAACGCGTAAAAGTTTGCACTTAAGAACATCTAAAGACATCAGTCAGGAGGATAAAGTTTGGGAGCAAAAGAAACCATCAAATTAGTTACAATGCAGCTTAATGACACCAATGTTTAGAACTGGCCGTCACAAAACCCTGATCTCAGTCAGATAGGGAATCTACAGAAGAGACGGCCCGCGAACCCGACTCAGCTGCACCTGTTCTGTCTGGAGGAACGAGCGAAACTTTCAGCAAGCTACTGTGAGAAACTTGAGCAAGGAAACCCAAGATATTTCACCCAAGTCATAAAATTTACCGGAAACTCTGTCAACTACCCACATATGCAAAACTCTGGATTTGAACAAATAAAAACAAACACGTGCACGTTTGCTCGTCTGTCATTCTGCCAGTAAGCAAATTGAAATTATGATTCTCCATAATCAGACTAACTCAAGTATGACATTAAATTCGATTTAATATCAGACGAGAATAAAAAGGTGATGCATGTAATAAAATGGTGAACTAAATTCATAGTTTCAAGATTCAAGCTCCAACTAAAGTCCACAAAAACATCAAAACTCCCATTTTATTGAAGAAAGGCACATTGTGGTGACTGGATGATTATTTTCTAAAGCTTCTTGACGTTAAATCAAATACACTCATGTTCATATGATTCCTAAACAGCAGATGAGCTTCTCAAACAGATGGTTTCCTGACTCAAAGAGCAAAATACTGACGTTCAAATGATTGAAAAAAAAAAAAAAAAAAACAGACGAAAAGGGTAAAGATGAGCAAAACAGCACCTGACAAACAAAAACACGAGCCCACACATTAGCGTAAGCACAGTGACACACGAGCACACACATGCTGCGACGGATTAATGGCTGTAGATGGCGACGTCTGATGAAAAATAAGCTATTTATTTCCTAAGGAGCGCGCTCTCTGTCTCAGCTGTTTCACACTGTTGATGAGCAAACACACTCGGCTGCCTATTCATCCGTGTCTCCAGTCGGTAGTCGACCAGAGCGCCTTGATTCACCCACTGTGTGTAACTGTATTAGTCATCATCGCACTTCTGTTTTTGATGAGCCCCCCTCCCCCCTCCGTCAGTCTCTCTCTCTCTCTCTCTCACCCCGTTGGAGGTGATTAAAACCGATCGGGTGTCAAACTGATGCTGGCTCTTCACAGGTGGGTGGGGGGAGGGGGGGTGTGGATCGGTCACTGCTGAGGGGAGAAACCAGGAGTTTGTTTCGAGGCTTTTCTTGCGCTGTTCTCAAGTGTAGGAAGGTGAATAACGACGTGTGTCATGTTCTGCGTGTGCATGTGAGTTTCAGGGTTCACATCTGTGTGGGAGTGAGCGTGACTGTAACTGCTTAAGAGGAGGAAAATCTACCAACGTGCGTTTATTTACAGTGCCTTGTCAAGCTGTTCGTACCCCTCAAACATTTCCACATCTTGCCACATGACGACCACGGTCAGGACGAAATGCGAATGGGTGGTTTTACGAAGATCACAAATAAAAATAGGAGAAGTGTGGATTTGTTTGTAGCTCCCGTTATTCTGAAAACTAAACCCAGATCTTACAATCATCTTAAGAAGTCGCCTGTTCAGACGATTAGTGTAGTGTTGAAATCCCGAGCCAAGCATTTTAATAAGACACAGCTGAGGCCATTATCTGATGGTGAAGAGAAACCTACCAACCCACTGAAACTGACACAGGACAAGAAGCATTAATCACTCACACAAGATACCCCTGGCAGCTTCAGAGGGGCTGCAGAGATCCACGGTTCAAATAGGAGAACTTCTTCATGAGAAACCTATTACTCATTCACTTATTCATTAGGGTACAAAAGAAAGTCATTGCTGAAAGAAAGCCATAAAAAGCCCCGTTGTTTCGTGCCACAGGCTGCGACGCTGTAAGCTGCTCACACCGTCTCCATTGTGAATTAAAGTGGTGGCAGCATCATGCTGCAGGGACGCTTTTCTCAAGCAGGGAGTTAAAGAGGAGAAAGATGGACCTAAATAGAGCCTGCAGAACACTAGAGACTTGGGCCAGAGTAATGGCCTACTCAAAGTCCAGGTAACATACGACTGAGCATCTGTTGAACATGCCTAACTCTATTTTCCCCACAAAGACAAGACAGATATTTTAATCTCTAAGTGTATGAAGCCGGTAGAGATGTACACTAAAAAGCACAAGTTTTGAGTCATGGAGGCTGAGTACAAATATGCGCACCACACTTTTCAGACTTTAATTTGCAAAACCCCTTTTAACACATCAAGTAATCACTCAGTACGCACCAACACTATTGTGTTTTTATTGGCCCATTACATTAATCAGAATAAACCAATATAGGTATTATTGCAAGGCACTGCATCTTTTTAAATAAATATATTGTTTCACAACAACCTTAACCGTCTTAAGGATCAAGTGTTTATTAGCAGTTAAAACGTTATTTTTCCTTCATTAATTATTAAATGTCTGTGCCTCCGTTTCCCTGCTTTTACAAACACACACCTTGGATGGTGGCCAGGGGATTGTTACCGAGGAGCGCTTGGTTCATCCCCGTGTTAACTCCCATCACAGTGTTCCTGTTGCGGCACACGCGTGTGCAAGCATGTACACAAACACAGACAGGCAGAGGAGAAGAGGTGAGGGGGGAAAAAAGCAAGTTTAGCAGCAAGAAAAGGCAAAGGATAAACCCATTCACCCAGACAGACGTCGGTCTGAGGAAGGCTCAGAAAAAGCAAGGAGGAAAAAGTTCAAAGCTCTAAATATCCATTCATTTTTAGCACAGTTAATTCACACAAAGCTAAGGTGCACAAACTTGTTTTTAGGCGTGATATGTGTAGCCTGCGTCTCACCTCAAGTTTGCAGCAAAGTCAGTGATGTAGTTGGACATTTCACCGTTCTTTTTACCCATACGCCACAAGCTGTGAACACAACACACAGGATTAGATTCTGACGCTGCAAAGAGGAAGCTGAAGTTGAGTGGAATGGCTGATTATCAGTGTATGAACTTGTGCCGGGTGTCAATAATTTAAATACAAACTGTAGCTGAACTCTGCATGCTGCTGCGCAGTATAAATTGGAATTATAATTATGAAAATGTGTGGCAATGTGGAGCAGAATTGTGGGTTTAATTTGCCTAAATTTAATAAATTGTGATGGGAAGTGTGCAAAAAGAAACAGTGGTTAACAATGCATTAAATAATTGTTTTTTTAATTTTTGCTATGAAACATCAGATAAATGCATTTTTAAATGCTGCAATTTTTCTTAATATATATTTTTATTTCATACTGTAAAAGTTAAGCAAAACAGCTTATTTTTATGTTGTTGTACTTGATTATCCTAAATAGTGAATTAGAAATATTTTCCTAACAGAGGAACTACTCAAACGTGCCATTTTCTTTTTTTTTTTTGTTTTTTTTGTTTTTTTTTGTTTTCCAAAACTAAAATTTCCACCAGACGTAATGAATTCTGTAATCTAACTGAGCTAATACTTTTATATAAAGTATTATGTAAGAGCCAGTCCAACGTGCAAGCAAACTAAGCAATTGCTCGGGGCTCCAGTACAGCAGGGGGCGCCCAAGAGCCTTCGACTCATTGGAATGTATTCTATATTAAAAAATTAAATTATTAAAATGGAAAAGAATAAAAAAATATATTTTTCATTAAAATTTTATATTTTAATTTAAAAATGAAATGATAATAATGAAAAAATAAATAATCTAGACCATAAAATTTGTTTTCAGAAGCTCCACATTATTCACCTGCTAAGTCAAAAATAAATAATGAAAATAAAATAAAAATCACAATAAAATGATAGAGGATTGGACCATTGGATCTAAGAAATGTCACTATTTGTCCCAAAACTTCACTTTGAAAAATTGACCATCATGCCATAAATTGCAGAGACAAGATTAAAAGCTTGTGAAGGTTTGGGTCTCATGTAAAATTGTTAACAAGGACGGCATTCTGCTGGCTGAGAAAGATTAGACAAGTTTTAACATTTGAAAATGCAAATGTGTCTTCACAAACCGGTTATTGAACGCTCTACTTTTAGTTACCGAATAAAAGTGTTGGAGCTACAAAATGCAGCTGCTCATTTTCTATCTGCCACTGGGAAATCTCTTTACTGGTTTTCTTGTCAGGCTCTGTCAGATTGCAAGTTTTTACTGCTCTAAATGGCCTGGTGCCTTCATTCAAACATTCTCCTCCTGGGGCCCCAGACAGTTTTGTGCCGGCCCTGCATCCTGTGAACGTCTCCGGGTCTCTTACCCTGTGTTTAGGTTGAGTGTACTGTGGCTGGGAGTGGCAGGGCTGGCTGTGCTGCGGGGAGGAGGTGGAGGAGTCGCTGGGGAGGGTGTGGAGCTCAGAGGGGGGTGGGCTGAGGTGAGAGAGGGGTGGGTGGAAGTGAGGCTGGAGGTCAGGGGGCAAATGGAGGACATGGTGGTCACCGTTGTGCTGCTGAGACTGGTCACGGCCTGCGACAGCTGGCTGGACATCTGGTCAGAAAACAAAAAAACAAAACAGCACCGATGAGACGCTGCGAGACGATAACAGAGTCTCCAGACGGAGACACGTCGGTCTGATATTCACCATATGAGGGCTGTAGCAGGGTGGCTTGTGCGTTTGTGGGGCAGTGGGGGGCTGGCTGGGCAGCGGAGGGGTGGCACTGGTTGGGTTGATGCGCTTCTCTTTCTGCCGGCGGTTGCAGAACCAAACCCGGATCACCTCCTTCTCCATGTTCAGCTGCTCCGCAATCAGCAGGATCTCCTCCGAGGTAGGCTTCTGGTTCTGAGTGGAAAAATTAGTCCGCATTGTTTCAACTGAGACGAAGGAGCCAGGGTTATAACAACGGGAACAAAAATGTTATTAGCTGAAAAGTTGGTATAAAAAAAACCCTGCTAGTGTTTGCACAGAAACACAGCTAGCTACTGAAGGAACATAGAAAAGTTAATATTTAAAAGTCACATGAGCCCTTTGTTAAAATAAAACCCCCCAACTGTTACAGCTATGGGTCTATTAATGAGCAATTTATAGATTTTACCTTTGTGTCAACAGTTTAAGACAGGGGTCCCCAAACTACGG